AAGCCTTGGGTGCCTTTCTTTGCTTCGGAAAGATAGAGATCCAGCTGTACATGTTCAATTGTATCTTTTCAGGCAGAACCCACTGCTAGATGTAGGCAGTGACACACATAATACAAGAACTAGATTGTATAAGCCACAATCCTCCCTTAGGATTTCATACATACCACTGTCACCCGTGTCATAACAGATGCATTATCTGTGTCAAGGCCACACAGATTTTCCTTCTTCAGGGCACATCTGCCATGGAAATCCAGAACTGCTCTTGTCATTCACCTTGCATCACTGCCCTCTGCTAAGTCAGGCCAAGAAATGCAGGGAGCACATTTTTGTTGCAATGAGTGCAGTACAAATAAAACTGGAGCTACAACAGGATCTGCAAAGACAGCCATCATGCCTCATCAGTGTGCTCATGTGTAAGTATTAAGCAGCGCTCAGGAATTACCACTGCCACCTGCTGGGGGGAATCTATTTTAATTATAAAAAAGTAACACTGATTACTTTGCTGATATATAGTTGTGATTTTTTCATCGCGATTGAGTGCACTCGATTGAGTCACGACTTGGCATGGAAGTGTATTTTACATGACAGACAGTGAATATGAATTATTACCCATGTAAGACTTCAAGCAGCTACTGAATTTAGGGTTCTAATCCAATTCATTCCTGCACTTTCACGAGTATAGTTTTGAAAACAAATCAGTGTTTACGATTTGTATGTAGTTTGTTTAGTATATAGCCTGTGTAGTTTTGGGTCTGTTATATACATTCTATCTAGCCATCCCAGGGTTGCCAACTCTGACGGATCTGGCGTGACACGCTTTCAGACTCCCACGTTCACCAGAGCAATCTTAAGGCAAACCTATATTATTCCATTACAATCGTAAAATTAGCTACGTTGGGGTAGATTGCAATCCCTGCAGACTAATGTAATTAGATTGTCACATGCATGTAAATGCGTGCGCACGTGTGTGGAAAATCTCGTCAGCCAGCTGACCGAAGTTGGCAACCCTGATCCATCCATCCGTGCATCCATCCATGGTTGGCTTTTAACTTTAATTTAAAAATAGCCAAGACAGCATACGCATTCGTACGTAGGTCGGACTAACAATGGCAATCAGTGACTGGTTCGCACGAGTCTCCGCCATTCATACTGCGGGCCGCTTTTGACTTCTATTTGAGTCAGCGGGCAACACTGGGTTTTCTTATTACTAACTCGTATAACCAGCAGCTAGAGGTTCGTAGCAAGTGCAGGATAGTGACTTGGGTGTCAGTAATTCGCTAAATGTGTCCCAAGCCTTTTAAAAATAGTGGAAAACGGGTCTAAAACTTTGAAAGTCGGCAAAAGCAGCCCCGCCTCCGACGGAATAGCTCGCGCTTCCTGAGACTCTTAATGATGACGTGATAACGCGCCGCCGCCCTTCCAGTGCAAACGGGAGAACAAGGTAGTGTTCAGAGTACTGACTTTACGTTATTTGTTTATTTATACCTTGAGATTATATGACTTCGAAGCGACACTCAAATTAGTTAATTTGGCATATTAAAACGATAAAATATTTAAGCGATAGAATAAAAGTAGAATTATCATTTATCTTGTTTGCAACAATGCAAATAAAGCAAATATTTCCAAATGGTAAATATTTAATTTCGCGTGTACTACTGCGTGGTAATCTGTGCACCGTTGCTAAGAATGAGTCGCCTAATACTGTTATTGAGAACACACTAAAAACTCTGCCAAAGAAAAAAAGGAAAAAATATATACATGGAAACTCCCAATCTTCCTCTTGGGAAGAAAGATTAGCGGATGTCGTTACTCCCCTGTGGCGGCTGAGTTATGACGAGCAGCTCCGCCTGAAACAAATGCAGCAGAAGAAGATCCTTCAGGAACTGTCAGATCTTGTGAAGGCAGCAGTGCCCGAGGTCTCACTGCCTTTAAACAACGATAATCTGAGTTTTCCTCTTTTGCCGATAAAGCCTTCACCTGTGATATATGGATACCGCAATAAGTCAACATTTTCAGTCAATAAGGGTGTGGATGGCGATCCAAAAACAGTCGGATTTTTTGTGGGTTCTGGTAAGTGTAAGAACATTGTCTGTATTAATGACAATCACCTGCTCAACACACCAGCAAAACACAAGATGGTTGCAAGACATTATGAAGACTTTATTCGGACCTCCCCACTAGACCCCTGTCTCCTCTTTCACGAAGGAGGCCACTGGCGAGAGATTACAGTGAGGACTAATTCAGCAGGTGAAACCATGGCAATAGTCTTCTTCCATCCTCAGAGTTTAACTCCAGAGGAGATCTATGCTCAAAAAGCATGTTTAGTTGATCATTTCATTTATGGACCTGGAACAGACTGCAAACTCGATGCTCTGTATTTCCAAGAATCATCGATGACACGGTGCAGTAACGAGGTCTCCCCCTATCAGCTCTTGCATGGTAACCCGCACATCTACGAGGAGGTGCTCGGATGCCGATTCCGAATCTCTGCCGACGCCTTCTTTCAGGTGAACACAAAGGCCTCAGAGGTTCTGTACCACACAGTGGGAGAGATGTGTCTTTCTTCTGTGGGAGACACCTTACTGGATGTTTGTTGTGGCACTGGAGCCATTGGCATCTCTTTGGCATCCAAAGTCAAAAGAGTAATTGGCATTGAGGTAATTGAGCAAGCTGTCAAGGATGCGAGGCACAACGCTTTCCTGAACGGCAAGCTGAACTGTGACTTCCTGGCGGGGAAGGCAGAAGTGCTTCTCCCCAAACTGATCCCATCACTAGGGACTGAGTCATCCATCATCACAGTTGTAAATCCATCCCGCGCTGGCGTACACCACCGTGTGATACGGGCTCTCCGGAGCAACCCTGCCATCCGCAAGCTCATCTACATCTCCTGTAAACCTGAAGGGGAAGGCATGAGGAACTTCAAGGAGTTGTGCTGTCCACTGGAGGGACAGCCCTTCAGGCCAGTTCTTGCCATTCCAGTGGACATGTTCCCTCACATTGCACACTGTGAACTGGTGCTTGTTTTTGAAAGATAGTTGGTGGAAGGAAATGCTGTAAAGATGTTAGAAATGTGTTTAAAAATGGACAAGGCAAATTGGTAAACAGAACTGATAAGAATTAAGTTTTTGTAACAAAATAGACCAGTCATCTAGAACCTTGAACTACGTGATGGAATATTGATCTGTGAGATATGTGGCACTGTCATGTTTACTGATAATACATTTCATACTATCAGTTATAACTTTAGCTGCTCTCCATACAAGATGGAGGTGCTCCTGGATGCATCCTAATTCACGAAACACATACAGCATAAAACCTTATTATTGAAATGGAGCCATCCTCTAATTTGCATTTCTGGAAAGATTTAGGGTAGTGTTTCCCAATCTGGTCCTCAGGGGGAGCTGGGAGAGAGCAAAAATGTGGACTGTGGGCGTCCCCCAAGGGCCAAACTGGGAAACACTGGCTTAGGGAGTCATGTGATTAGTAAACTGGTGTGAGATTCCTGAATGCTGTGGCAGCCACAGGGTTTTACAGGTTTCTGCTCCTCGGCCACATCTGGGTTAGTGAAATTTTAGATTTTCAAATCTATGACATACTGCAACCACGATGTACCACTGCACATAAATCCTAACTGGGTGTAATGCTGAATAAAAATATGCCAAATCTGTGACAAATGGTACCACACAAGGAAAAGGTGAAATTCCCCTAAATTTAGGGTCAAAATTGTACACTTAGCTTCAACTTGGGTGCTTGTTAGCACTCTGACTAAAATCATGTCCCTGTAGTTCAAAATTGCCTCTAATCTTTCTTTTCCTGAGTGACATTCATGAAAATGTCTCTGCAGAACAAAGTATTTTAGATATTCAGTTAGGAATTTAAAGGTGTTTTCTGTTTATCTTAACGTAAAATGCTTACCAAGAAACTTTAAAAAATGCAAGAGAATAGTTGATTTTTGATTTTTTTTTATTATTTTACAAACAATTGTCTTCATTTACTAAGTGAGGGCTGCTTTACCAAATGACATTTTGCCATTTTAATACTATAAAAATCACTCCATTTAGAACTATTCAAATAATTATGAATAGCGGTCAAGAAAGTGACGCAAGATGCCTTTGAGTCATTTTTATACAAAAATATAAAATTAACTGCTTGCAGAAACAGAAATCTAGGCATCATAACATTGACCCACCCCTAGAGTGTGTGTGTGTGCCAGACACAGCCTTCAGCTTTGTAGTATGACTGGTCCCTGAGAAGGTTCCTTAATTTAGGCACTGCATATGGCAATAAAAAAGTCTGTCGTACTGTTGTGTCACAAAGTAAGACCTGCCCATGGCTTTGACATCCACCCACAAATACTACTGGCAGCCTGGCAGTTGATGACAGACACACAACCACAGCAGCACCATAGCAGAAATTCTCCTTCTCGTTACTGCACTGCATTTTCCAAATATCAAGTTATGTGCACTTTTCATTGCTAAGAAAGTCTGTGTCCTTCGCTCTCATGCCACACACAACGATCCGTGTCATTCCCTGATTAAGGATCTGCTGCATGAACATCTGCCAGATTCCTATCGTCAACGCATATGGAACGTTGAACTAATTTATTTAATGTAAGGAAGAGCCATTATGTTCCATGTGAAGTCAGTGTAGGACGGTGTGTTGCAAGTTCTCATCTGACCAGGCGGGTGGGTTACTAATTTCGCCCCTAAGCCAAAACAAATCGGCCTGGACACACGGAATCAAAAGAAAAAAAAAAAAATCACAGAGCTGGTATTTCGTATTCGAAACAAGAAGGTGCTACACACAAAATAGTAGGTTATTACTTACATAGATGCAGCGGTGTATTTTAAAATTTTCTGAATCCGGTCCCCCAGACAGTGCACGTTTTTGCTCCCTTCCAGCCTGTGGACTGTCTCGAGGTCCCCGGGGGCCAATTTGAGAAACATCATTTTAAAACACTTTGAATAGTCAGGGAGAGAAATAAACGCACAGGGGAGCTCTTTAGAAAATGATGGCACATTTATTGCTACATTAATGTTATGTACATATTGTGTTTCCTGTTACAGAGACAATTTTTTTTTCTTTCCTTTTTTTTTTAATTTTTAATTTTTTTTTCTCTTTTCTTACTTGTTGCTGGTTTAGGATGTGCATCAACAATACCTTGAATTTTGACACAGGTACAAATCTTTAATCAACCAACAATGAAGACTGAGAAGAAGGAGCAACACCTTCTGGAACACTGAGCTCATACACGACCCCACACTAGACTGCGTGCTACAATCCTACTCTGCTCTTTAGATGCTGTTTGTACATTTCTAATAGAAATTGATAGGTTATGGTAAATAACCCTAAATTTTTACTACCTAATATAGTAAAATAAAGTAAGAAACTTTTTACTGAAAAGCTTTTTTGATTTCAAAAATCTAGAAAGAGTAATATTTAGAATTCAATAAACTTTCTTACAAGATTATCGTATAAAAGACTAACTACAGTGAAAAATAAGCCAAATGTTTTTTTATTTCATATTTTTCAGTATTTTAAGAAGGAACGTAATTGGGCACAGGCCAAGTCTAAGGAAGCCGAAGGAGACGCAACATAACAGAGAAGGGAGTAAAGAAAAAGGAGGGACAGGCAGTAAGACGACCTCCCGCTCCCCAGCAACGATGGCGTCCTCAGAAACACCGAAAGACGACAAGGCCGCAGGCAAACATCTTCACGTCGACATTTACCTCAAGTGGTTTTTAAAAAATTTTTCAATGTAACCAATTGTAGGTCAGGAAGCTGCAGCCTTGTCTTTAGAGTCAACAACACAAAATGGCCATTGAAAATACAAAACAAAGTTATGAAATTAGCAAAAATGAGAGATTTACAGAATGAGACAAAGAAATAAAGAACAGAGACATGGCCTGGTCTGTGGCTCACTACCTGCCCAAGAGAGCCGTGGACGGTCGACTCGTCACAGACCTGTTAGCCTTCGCACTCGCCGATAACCGCAGCTGCTCCTCTGCCACTCGCAAGAAACAAGAAACAAAAGCCATTCTAAATAACTTAGAATTACTTTCCACTAACTCACACTCGACGTTACAAGCTTAACTATGAAGCCTAGTGAAATGATTTGTATACAATTACAAATAAAGCAATTAACTTGTGATTACTTTGAGTAACATACTTTCATACATTTTCAGATTTTTTTTTTCCAATTTTTTAAGACAGAAGGAAAAAAAAAACACTAATTCTGGCCATATGACGTTATAGTCATCGTTTACACGTTACCAGTCGTCCCACAGATGTATGGAAATGGCCACGGAAGGCCACTGCAGGAGTCCAAAGCGTGAACGCAGGATTGCTGAGGCCGCCTAGACACCCGGAGACCAACGGGCGACGATTCTTTTACACTGAACACTATCTGGCAAAGGAATGAAAGTGTCCAAAAGTGCCCCGCCCCACTTAAGACACTATCACGTACACAGGGAATGCCAACTGGTTAGCAAGGTTTTGTCCTCCGCATGTGAACAGCACACAGATGGGAAACTGGTCAGTCGAGGGGTTAATATACCAGGAAAGCTGCGAGGGGCAGTTCCTCTCTCGGCCCCCCCCCCCCCCCTCACAGGGCAAGGTTGCTCGTCTACTTCTGCTATCACTAAAGCCTGAGGAACATTGATCCTAACCAGACAGGTGAATGAGCAGGCAGGCTGGCCGGCTCAGCTCGCTGTCCCGTGTGCGACGGGTTAAACGTGCACAGCTCGTGTCACTGGGATGCCTGGAATCTTCAGTTGCAGTCGTGCGATTCTGAGCTGAGCTTGGTACTCAACAACAAACAGGTAAATAGTGATTTTCTATGACTATCCTCAGCTATGCCAGACCGGCCGCGAGAGGGCAAACAGCAACTCTGCTGATCCAACATAAGCTTTACAAAAAGAAATTGTATCACTTTCCCTTTAGATAGACTTAGTTATAGCTCAGTAACATAATAAATAATAATAATAATAATAAAAAAATAAAAACAGAAGAGCAAAGCAACTGTGGATACAATGCATTTGTCAGCTTAGGCACATGTCAATGTCCGCATGTGGCGTGGAGACGCCCGCCACAGCCTCCGATTGTTGGGGTGCGCCACACTGCGCCACCTGCTGGCACCGAGTGGTTCTCACTCACAGGCTGAAAGTCGCCGGCCGGCACTGCATGTCTTCACGATGAGCCGTTCACTCGCTGGGGTTGATTTTATTTGATTTCATTATTCCCACCCCCCTCCCCCAATCGCAGGATCGCTTTGTTTTCCCAGATTTTTTTCTTCAAGTGGTTCATCTTTTCGAATTTGCATCACAAATTGTGAATCCCGCCTGTCCTTGAGACGCCAGGTGACCATCTCTCCATTACACGTAAGCGATCCCGTCGTTTTGATCTGCAGGCGGGAGGAAGAATGTATGACAATCAGCGAGCAGCACGCAGGCTGAGCCAGGAAAACCTTCACAGGGTCTCTTCCACGCTGCAATGCTAATCTGACATCATTTTTACGCTCTGCAGGTAAAAACACACGTTCAGGTCTTCTGTTTGGTCAGGGATGGCTGCAGGTACCTGGCTGCTCAGAGGTGGCCCATGGGATTGACACCTTCAGCCAGGCCGGGGTGGGCCATGCTTTGGACCTGCTGGGGGTCTGTGGAGATGACAGAGGCGGCCGACACCTTCTCCTCCTCCCTCCGCTTCAGGCAGGCGGCTTTGGGGTTCAGGTTGCGCTCTGTGGGCCCCACACAAACCTGTTGAGATGAGCTCAATCCCCCCACCTGCACAGGCGCCCCCCTACAGGTCGCTCTCGCCCCACACTGACCTCGAACCTGCTGCTCCAGGCTGAGGATGACGGCCACGGCCTGGTGCAGTATGAGCAGCTTGGTCTGCGGCTTCTCGCTCTTCAGGTGCAGCTGGCACATGCGGCCCAGCTCCTTGAAGGCCTCGTTGATGTCGCGCACGCGCAGACGCTCCCGCGCGTTGTTGGCCATCCTGCGCTCCCGCTCGCGCTCCGCCTTCTGCTCGGGGTTCAGGTCCTCATCTTCGTTGATGCTGCTGTGGTGGGGGGGAGGAAGCAAATCTCTGGCTTCACAAATGTCCGACCAGCAACTCCTGAGGCATGGTGAGCACTAAACTTCTCACGAAAGCTGCCAGTCACGAATGCGGTTTCCTGCCATAATGAACCGATCCAGGTGCCGGCAGACTGTCACTAATGGTATTTCCAAAACCAAACCTCCACCTCTGGCTTCTCTGGGCATCAGCAGAGTCGGCCTTCACCGGCAGCTGACAGGCGGCCTCACCTCGTCCGGGTGCCGCCCCGCGGAATCTTGACGTCCCGCTTATCGCTCTCGTCGTCAGACTTGAGATCGTCGGAAGAATGTTGGTCTTGGTCTTCCTTCTCTTGGCTCTCCACCTTGAGCTTCAGGCTAGATGCACCCTGGTTGGCTCCTGGGGCACAGTCATATGTGTCAGATGTGTAAGACAGAGCAGCAGATCAAAGGGGAGCAAACAGGAAACACGGCAAGCCGTACAAAGCGCATGTCTGCATTCGGTGCTAATTAAGCTACAAAAACAAGCTGATTTCACTTGTAAAGGAATGCGCACCATGTGTGCTACAGATTGTGTTGGGTAGCTATATTTTCCCGTCTTATTCTGGAGGTCGGACAGCAGTTGACTGACCTCTGAAGCCATCGGCCTGGTGGGAGACGTCGGCGGTGGGCGGCGTGCCTGGCAGTGTGCCATGGGTACTGCCCAGAACTGCAGGCTCCTCGCGATGCCCCCCAACCTGGGATGGCAAGGAGACGAGCAGTTAAAAGCAGTTGGTTTATTTGGGGGAATAATGGGAAATATCAGATCCTTTCTGGTCACTCGGATGAACAAAAAACAGAGTTTTGAGACTGTGAGTTTTAATCCCTATTATACACATTTTATTTAAGCAATGTTTCTGCAACCCGGAGGCAGTGCGGAGGCTCTAGGGGGCGCTATAGTCCTGTCCTATAGCCCTATAGGATTGTTTAAAATGCCGCTGCAGATCAATGTTTAGACATTCTGAATTCTCTTAATTCATATACCATGTATGAAAAGAGCACTTGTGGAGGCTCAGGTGCAGTCAGTAAGGCCTCGACGCTCTGACTCCTACACGCCCCCCCTCAGCTGAAACCGCTTTCCGTCTCCGTTCCAGTGTACAGAAATGGTGTCTTCTGCTCCCACCTTGGGAAGGGCTATGCAGGACTGCCAAGGCAAAGTGGATCGGGGGGGCTTCCCACAAGAGGGAGGACGGCAGGGTGGGGGTAATGTCGGTACTCTTTTCTTATCTGCACACGGCTCTGAAATCACCGCGGAGCTAATCTCCACTCTGCCCTCAACAGGTGTCCAAACAGACTTGTTCTGTCTTGTGGGTGGACCTTCCAGGCCCCGGGGACTGATGGGGGGGGGAGGGGGTCTTTCACAGTTACTAGATGAGGGAGCTCTAGGACAAGCAGATAAGGACAGGACCTGCTCCATTAGATGGGGGGAGTCTGCAGTCTGATATTAAGACAAGCAAGAAATCAAACAAGGCAAATTCATGGGAGAAACATATCAGCTGGCAGCCGGAGATGGCAGCAATATCCAGGCCAAGCTGTTCCCCTGACCGGCCCCACCCCCACCACCAACCCCCCCACCCAGCGCCTCAAGTACCTCCCCAACCTGTCAGCGTCAACGAAGACACCTGACGGGCTGCTGCAGGTGCAGGAGGGGCTGCCCGCTGGGACCATGTCCTCACAAATCACAGATCTAATGGCTGATTTGATGGGGGTGGGGGCTGAGCTGCAAAGGGGAGACGTGAAAGGCCTTCTCACCATGTCTGGTGTGGGGGAGGGCTTTGAGGCTGAGCAGTGGGAAGTAAAAAAATACAAATAAAAAAAGCTCACTCATAAAACAGAGAGAGGCAGCCAGGCAATGCCTCTTAAAGCCCCCGCCGACTGCTCACTGTCATAATACTGGAGCGTTTTCATGTGTGTTTTTGTTGTTTTTTCCCCCCTTTTGCTTTGGCCCTGGGAACGCCATGTGGTTTCTTTGAAGGAGATTCAGCAAGGAACATCTGTGCAAGAGAACTTGTTAAAGCTCGGCCACAAAAAAGAAAGAAAAGAAAAATATCACCATTAACACAGGAAAGACTGTATACTGATCAATCCGCCGGAACGCAGTGGGCAGAGGGCAGGAGGGCGTGTCTCTGAGGACCTCTGCTGCCTGCGAGCTGCCCGCTTTAACCCTGCTGCCATCCTGCAGGGCCCCAGAAGCCTCTGCACCTTCAGAGCCCCCTACTTTGGGGGCTGGCTGGGCTGTGAGAGGTGAGGCACTCTGCTCACAGAGCCAGGCTTAGTTATCGAGGCCTCCCCACCCTCACAGAAATGCGGCTTTCAAGAAAATCACGCAGGACTCCAGTAATGCGGCGGAGAGCCTGACGTGCAGGGAGCCCTCAGCCGGTTTTGACGAGCTCGCCCAGAGTCGGATCCTGGGGCACGCTGTCCCGCCACTTCCTGCAGCACAGGGTCCCCACGCAGCAGCCAGGGCCCAGTGTGGGGACCGATATCTGCTGCTCCTCACACTGCGACCTCTGCTTTCCGGCGAGAGGCGGGAGGATCTTGCTGGCGAGCCAGAGGCAGGACGCACCCCCTCCTCTGACTTTTTCCAAAGCAGTGAATATGCGAGCGTGGCCAGTCCCGCCCGCTTCCCCAGTCTCCGCACGCACGGTTTGAGGGAGAGAAAGCCCCCCCTCACCAGTTCTTACACATGTGGAAAATATGCGAGCGTAACTGAACCGCCCTGAGGAAGGGGCTCCCTTCCTGCTCACAGCCACGGCAGTCACACACACACACACACACACACACACACACACACACACAGGTTTATATTCATATCTTTGTGGGGACTCCATTCATTTCTATGTGGAAAACCCTAATCCCAACATGACAACCATAACCTCTGCCCAGCCCTAACTGTGACCATAAGTAACCAAACAAAACACAAAGACTTCTGGCATGGATAGTTTTTTTATTGCAGCCAGAGATTTTAAAACTGAGTTACCCCTTGTGGGGGTTGAAAAAATGGTGCCTATAATGACAAAACAGGTTTTTAATCACATTGTAGGAACTTTTGGTAAATACAAACCCACAGATACACAAAGACACACACAAACCCGCACTTGACCTTGAGCCAATATATATGTTTAAATAACTGAATGAATGAATGAATGAATGAATGAGGCGATTTTGAGGCGACACCCTCAGAGGCCGTTACCATGGACGCAGTCCGGCTGGTGGGCAGGCCCGAGGTGGGGAAGCCGGCCCCCATGCCTCCGATTGGCCCACTGTGTGCCTGTCCCAGGAGGCTGTGCAAGTCGCTGGGCAGGCCGGTGGTGGATCCCACCGCATGGTTCCTCAGGACGTGAATGGCGTCGTCGAGCCGGTCCAGCCGATCCTCCATGCGGGACTGCAGAGGGAGGGGCAGGTTAACGCCGCATGCAGGGGAGGGCGCAGCCTGACAGGGAAGGGGTCCGGACAGACATGCCGCTGAAAACATGCCGAATGACACCCACAGACACAGTGGCCTGAACCATTCCAGCCTGCGGCACACTAGGGCCATCCACATGGACACCACGGGATCCGGTAAGACGGCCGCCAAAGTACGGCTGGCCTTGTAGTAGGGATCAACGGAAGCTTTGGTTGCCATGGAGATCAGAGCCTCCGCATTACGCCGCAGGCTGGAATAGCAACAGAGGGACGAATGGGACGAAAGGCGGACCCTGACCAGGAGTGAACAGGGATGCAAGGATGAGTGTGACGTGTGTAGGGGCCGGGGGTCATGGAGGAAGGCGCAGTACCTCACAGACATCCTTTAAGAAGGACATTGCGTCCTGCAGATGTTCGTGAAGCTGCTGGTGAACTCGATTTTTCTGGTGAAGTCGAGATGGGGAGAAAGCAGCAGCAGAGCAGAGGGTTAGTAAGAGGCAGGAGAGAGCCTGATTAGAAAGGCAAGACAGCTTGGCTGTGTGACGCGAACCCCCCCCCCACCTGGCGCTGACCGTCTGCACAGATACACCTGCCTGCATTCGCCTACCCCAGTGCATGGCCGCCGCGTAAATATTTACGGCAATGGCTAGGTGTGGTGTGGGTCTAAATGGGCAGTAATCTGCGGTGCTCGTGGGCCCATCGCCGGACCGCCGGCACAGGAATGCCAGCACAGCAGATGGCTGGCGACACGCCCCAGGGACTGGCTTTGTGCAAAAATCCCCCCACATTTGTCAGCCAGGAATGTTGCTGTAATGCCATCCTTCCCTCGTTTCCCAGCATGCCCCAGGCAATGACCAATCAGCTCCTTCCTTAAAACCAAGCTCAGGGGTAGCTCTGTGTGTGTGTGTTTGTGCATGTGTGCGTGTGTGTGAGAGAGAGAGAGATGGAGGGGCGGGGCCTTACCAGGGAGTGCAGGGAGTTTTCATAGCTGGGGGAGGAGGGGGTTTGTGTGGCAGCTCGGGGCCACTGCCCAGCACCTGCGGACAGAGAGAGAGAGAGAGAGAGAGAGAGAGAGATGGGGGTCAGTGCTGGACATCACTGGCTTCCTCGGGCCCCGTGCCGCCGCATCCTGTGCGGCCTCTTACTTTCCCCTGAGCCTCATCTCCCCGGCCGGGTTGAATCATTTCCTGCGACCGGCCAGCAGTGGCGGAGGCTCGGCGGTTAGGATACGTGCTGCATCCGGCCGTTAATGAACTAATCTTGGCCAAAGCCCCGCGGAACAATGCGGCCGCTTGTTTGGGGTCTGCTCCCAAAATAGTCCCGAAGGAGGGAACAGACTTCCTCCCTCGACCCCCCCTCTGCATGTGAGCCTGAGAGAGACACACGACGGTTGCGCCCCCCCCCCCCCCC